CTGTTTATATGTGTAAATTCTCGAACATCTCACTTAGAAACTGATAAAATTTCGTTTCACTTTTTTGCAGGTGTTTTTTTAACACGGCATATAAACACCAATTGAGGACAAATACTTTGAATGCTTGGGATAACAGCAGTTCTTCGCTCTTAGTTTCCCCATTTGCCTTGAGCAGTGCCGATTGTTTGGTAGTCAGTCTGCTGTTGATACTGTTTTTCGTTTTTTCTCCGAAAAAAGATATTACCAGCTTTTTTTTTGTTGCTAGAAGCACTTGGCAGGGCTTAAGGCCGTTACGAGATCATATCTCCCCTCCCTTTGTTGCGCATCATCATATCTCCTGGAACGCTGCTTACTGCCCAGACTACGATAGGGCTCTTAACGGGCCATTGGATTTCTTTAGGTATTTCTGAGAAAAACAAATATTTGATTGGGATAGGAATATTTCAGTCAGTTGTTGTTTCTTCGTCTTTCTACTTTTTTGCCACAACTGAGGACTTTACTGTCGTAACTTTGACCGGAGCTGTATTAGCAGCAGCTAATAGTCACCTATTACGTTCCTTTGCTTTTTTTGTCATTTCAGCGAAAAATACCGAATGTGTCACTTGTAATTTTGCTCGTTGATAATGGCCATCATCTCCAGCAAAACACTGTGGAAGTTGGGATTTCTCAATTCGTCGGATTCTGATGCACTAAAATCCAACTTCCCTCCTCAACTGTCTTTCTCCTCCGCTCTATTTTTCCCTTTGCGGACCACGACTTAATGGACTGAAACATTCCTGTTTAAATTTATCATTCTTCAGTTTTCCCACCGAGTTGTTTTCTTTTTATAATAAAACAAATTTTCTTAAATCATTATCTCCCGGGAATTTGATGATGCAGTTAGCGAAATAAGGCAGTGAGCTTAAAAATAAGAATTCTTATGACTGAAATTCACAATCAGAAAAGCTTACGTTTTTTTCTTCATATTTCTAGTCACTTTTTACCATTTTCATTAGGCCAGGTGTAGTATTCTTAACATAGGATTGATGCCTGTGAATATGCGAATCACTGAGTTGACGGACTGATAGCATCTTACTTCCTACCCCAAATGATCACTTTAGTGGTTGGCAAACCAAACTGAATTGTTCTATAACAGGACGCCAGTTATACAGAGTAAGAGTATTGAACAAACCGCGTAAAAACCCCTTCCCATTCCCCATCTTCGAAAATAGTAGAATAGAGGGGCTGGATTCAGTGTCATGTGTAAAAAGGCATTTTACGTTGCAGTCTTTGTGTTTCATCCCTTAGCTGTAAACACTGACCGAATTTTGCATCCGGATAGGAGCAGGAATCATCATTACAGCCTTCTACCCGCCATGTACTGAACAGTCATGTGACTAATTTGCAAGACGGATGTGCGAAAGAAAGAGAAAACAGCAATGCAGTCTGTGTTGATCGCCGAACAGACTCCTTTGCAATTCATTCCACTTATGCGGAGAAATCCCGGGACAGTGTAGTCCCTTGCTGTGCTAATTTGATGACATGCATTATTGTGCTAATTAGTAATTCAAGGACGAGCAAATGGGGGGGAACCTTCGGTGATGCTGGATGAAGTTTTAATTGTGATTGCAGTGGAACTGTGATTCCTTTGATAA